ACTGGGGTACAGGCCACAGGTGTGGGGTAGAGGGGTGAGAGGATTTACCAGCAACACAGTGGGGAGCAGAACAGGCAGACTGAAACCCACTGCTGAGGGAGCAGCGGGGAGACAGGAGGGGTCTGCTGCGCCCTGGGGTCCCCCCTGGCAGGGTCGGGCTGGCGCTGCAGCGGCTGCGGGCAGCTCCTAGTGCTCCTAGTGCTCCTCCTTGCAACTGATACCTCCCCGCTGTGCCGCTGGGGAGGGCGCGGGACGCTGGTCTTCTAGAAGGCAGTGTGGCGTAGCAGTGAGGGCACCAACTCCAGTGCCAGGTGACTCTTTTGTAAAGCCCCAGTTTGGCCAGGTGTCTGCTTGCATGAGCCTAGGCAAATTGTGTCAACCTTTGTGCCTCGGTCCTCTCAACCATATGCGAGGTAATAACGCCATGTCACTATTGCAGTGACAGTAAAATGTTTAGATGAGAACCCGCCACAGGGCAGGCACTCAGGAAATGTTGCTTTTTGCTGCTGCAGTTGTTGTCACTGGTGGCATTACTAGTAGACTTGGGGAAAGCAAGTTGACGACGGTGGTGGCTCACCACAGCTCTTCACCCCTCCACATCCTTGGAAACCCTTCCTTTCCCATAATTCGGGAGCAGGACTACACCGTCAGCCCAGGTGGAGCTATTCCGGGCAGTGGTGAAATTCGCCATAATCCAGGCTAGAGACCTTTGTGGTGCTAAAAAAACCAGGTGGTGGTCGCTTTCCACTTGTGCGCACTTCGAAGTGCCCCGTGAGGCCGCCAAGGTCAGGCTCTCCCAGACGTGGGGCCAGCCGCTGCAGTCTGGCCTGAGACTCAGTTTCTCGCCCTTTGGCTCCAAGGCCGTGGCCGCCCTGACAGGTCGGCGTGTCTTGCCTGTCACCCCGTCATATCAGACGGGGACCGAGACCTCCTTACAAGTGATACTGCAGGCAGCTCCGCCCAGGAGCCCAGGGCCGTCCCTTGCGTCCTGGACTGGCCAGTCCTCTGCTCTTCCAAGACACGCTGATGCAGGCGCGACCTGGACACTTGAAGACTCCCATGGGTGGCTTCTCTGTCCAGTTCCTTCTCAGCAGGAGAGGAAGTGGGACCCAGGGCCCTGCTTATTTGGTCTTGCTTTGCTTTGCTTTTTGTTTTTGCCTAAGTGAGGTGTCCAGTGCTCAGGTGGGGACGGGGACGTGACCACCACGTTTCTCAGCCAGCAGCACGCTGTTAAGAGGTGGGTCCGCCGGTGGCATTGGCTATAATCAGGGGTTTACTTTGTATCTTAGCACAGTGTCTCCCAAGCTCTGCTCTCTGGAAACTTTGGGGAGATGGTGACAGATTTTCCGTTTAAGAAGGATTCTAGAGCTGGCTCAGTCTGGAAAACACTTTCTCCTTCTCTGGGAAAGGCACAATTTACATCAGCTTGTCGAAGGTTCTGAGAAGCTCCAGGTTACAGAAACCCACTCAGCTCTTCCCGTGATGGCAAGATAACATTTGAGTGGACGCGGCGTTAGCATGTAAGTTAGAAAGACCGATGACCTGGCGAGCACCTGAGCCCTTCACCTGTGAGTCCTCGGGCCGGCCTGTGAGCCCCTGTGAGCCCCTGCAGTGCACCCAGGCAGGACACCCCAAGTGTAGCCCTTCGTCCCCTTGCTTTAGTGGGGGAGGATTGTGCTTTTGTCACTTATCGGTGACTCGCATTATTTTGCTTATTTTTGAGCTTTAGTGAAAAATGGCCTCAGTTTCCCTGGGCGCACCTCTCGGCCACCCGGCTCCGGCTGTGCTGCCTCCCGCCGGCTGTGCCTTTCGCCCCCGCACTCCCCACCCCAACGCCCGGCCATCTGGGAGCGTTTGGTTGACTTTGCTGTGCTGTTGCTTCTACCAAAGAGCAGCGGGCAGAAAGGCGCGCAAGGCCCTCACAGGATGTTGCACGGGCCTCGTTGGGGAGCAGAGGGCGCTCGCTGTGGCTTTAGGGGCAGGACCTTTCAGGCAGGAGGAGCCGCCGCACAGAGGAAATAAGATGCCCTGTCTTCGAAGACCCTAAGGCCCGGCGATCGATCGCGGCACACTGACCCGTGAGTCACACCCCGTGGAGCGGTGCGCCCATCCAGGGGAGGCCGCGAGCCCAGGGACGCTCCTGCAGGCGCAGCCGTGAGCTGGCCCTCAGAGGCGGGACCAGGCCAGAAGCGAAAGATGTGGGGCCGGGTGGCTGGCAGTGGGCAGCCGGGTTTCCCAGCGTTTCCGTTCCCGCCCAGCCCCGCCCAGCGCCAGCTCCGCCAGCCGCGTGTTCACTGGTGACTAGAAGCTAGCAAGGCAGATCGCTTTTCCTCATTGTTTTCCTTGAAGTGTTTCCATTCATTTCTTCTTTTTTTTTTTTTCATTATATTCCTTTTCAGATTTGGCTTTAGTTCCCCTTAGTGTCTTTGGTGTAACAAGAAACTCAGGTCATTTCCGTTTTGGAGTGTAGTGGAAAAGAGAGGGGGAGGCAGCAGGTGACAGTGCAGCGCCAGGAAGCTGCCGCTGCTTCAGCACGAGTTTGATCCCCGCCAGGCGGTGACCCCCAGGGCGCGGCAGACCTCTCCTGACCGCCCCTGCTCCCCTCAGCAGTGCGCTTTGTGGTCGGCCTGTTCTGCTCCCCGCTCTGCCCCGGTGAGTCCTCTCGCCGCCCGCAGCTCTGGCCCATACCCCAGCTCTGTGTGCGTAAATAAATCAATTTTTAAGAGAGAGAGAGAAGGGAGGGGTGTTCTGTTGTCATGTGTCACTTGTCTGGGACATCGTTGTTGGTTGCAGTTACCTTAGCAATCATAGCGCTAAGTGCTGTGGAGGTTGGCCTCAAGCCCTTACCACAGACTTACAAGCGAAGACACTCGTTTTGCAGTGTGTGGCATAAATTTTTGAGCTTGACTTTATAAAAGAAGGGCGTCTTCCTGCCCACCGTCCCTCTCAGCGGCGTTGGAGAAGCCTCTCAGACGGCGCCAGGCAGGGCCCGAGGTGTGGGCGGCAGAGCCCACGAGGCCCCATGTCTTCCCCCGTGCCGAGGCCGAGGGTGACGTCCCCATCTGACCACGCCCCTGCAGGCGGGAGTCAGGACAGGTGCCCGTGTCCGCCGCCGGGGCCACTCCGCAGTGGTTGCCTGTGGAAGCTGCTCAGCTGCTCTGAGTCAGACTGTTGCACCACGGAGGAAGGGGGCGGGGGGAGGGGGTTAATTTGCTTTTTAAGAGAAACTGATTTTAAGAAAAGTCGTCATTGTTTTTTATGGTCTAAATTTGGGGGACAGATACCAGTATGTTCATCGCCCATAATTTGAAAAGCATTCTGCAGTGACTCACCAGAGTCCCCAAATAGATACTTTTTAAAAGTCACAATGGCCCCAGGAAACAGAATTAGGCTTGGCGAATATAAATAGTAAGTGTTTTCTCGGTGCAGTCAAGAATGTGGAGCCCTGACAGCCAGGAATTCAGGAAAGTCAGCCCTCGTGGGCACAGCAAAGGGGCCTGGTAATGCTGCCGGCCTCCCGCCCGTGGCGGCTGAGGCAGTCCTTACCCTGAGCACTAATCATTGGCCCCGGTGTTGCCTTTCGCACAGAAGGCAGCGATCGTTCCGACACTTTCCCTGGCCTCCAGCTGTCTCCACTCCACTGGCCGCAAAGCCGACGCAGCAGGGCGGCTTGCTTCACTGGGAATGAATTTCACTTCCACGCCACCTTTTTTTTTCTTTCTTTTGCAAAAAGAGTTTGGAATTTAGATACTCTAAAGTGGAGAATGTGAAACAATGGTGAGGCTAAGGAAGGGTTCTCCCTCCGCCCCCCTACCTTTGGAGGGGAGGCCCTGAGCAGGCGTACAGATACCCCCAAATTACCCGTGTCATGGAGAAGCCGCTCCTGGCCGGAAGCATCTTAGTTCATGTACCCATGTACCTTTACGGGGCACCTGCCAGGTGCCAGCCTCTGTGCTAAGCCCCGCAGACCGAGGTGAGTCCGCCTTAGCCGGTCACGAGGCGCCCGCCTGCCTGGGCGGTGCTGATGTAGCTGGTGAGTAGCACAGCGCTCAACAGCCTGGAGGCAAGAGCAGGAGCAGTGCGCAGGCTGGGTTCAGCGTGGGGGAACGTGGGAAGGTCTCACCGAAAAGGTGGCTCTGGTCCTCAGCCTTCAGGAATAAAAAAGATTGCATCAGCCAGAGAAGGGGCAAGCTGGCGTTTCAGACAGAAGCCATAATAAGAGCGCAAGCAGAAAGGCGTGCAAGCTCGTGGCGTGTTCAGGGACCCTGCGTGGCCGGGCCAGACAGCGCGCAGGCGTGAGGAGAACGCTCGGGGGGGCTGGGGACCCGGCCCTCGTCCAGGTTGGGATCCCAGCTGCAACAGGCCACAGCCGCTGCGACCGTGGCAGGTCAGCTCTGACTGGTTCTGCGTCTTCCGAAGAGGAGTAGCAGCATCTGTTTCGTAGGTAGACACACTCACATCCACGTACCTACGCATATGGCTTCAAGCAGTTCTCAGAACAAAATAAACACAAGCATCATTACTAGGCCACGTTTATGAAGGGCCTCGAATTTTAATCTACATTATTTCCTAAGCCAAACAGAGCTTTTAAAGTAGGGAGAGATGTTACAGAGGGAGAGTCAGCAGCAGAATTTACTCTTTACTTTAGAAGTCATGGTCACGCTGGGGCCTGCCTTGGCTGAGGGAGACATTAGCGCCACAAGCAGCTTTGGGGAGCAGACTGGTGCTCGTGTAACGTGGCTCTGGGCTACTGACTAGAAATTGCAAAAACGAAACGTCAGTCTTAGACTCCGCAAGTTTCATGATAGAAGACATAGCGAGGCCTGGGAAGACCCCCAAGGGATCTCTCCTAGGCAGGGGCCGCACGTTCCATGATGCTTCTGCTCCGTGAGGCTCCAGGAGCCTCAGCCAGTGCTTTGTGGCATCTCTGTGTGGGGTTACTTGCCATTGTTAGGAGGGGCTTTTTCTTGCTGTTGAGTAACCTCAGATCTACCAATCAGTTTCCTAGAGGAAGTTCTAGCTTCTGGGCTGCACAGCCGAAGCAAGGAGAACGCTCAGATGCCCTCACGGTCGGCCAGCAGGAGGTGAAACAGCGCAGAGCGAGGTGCGGCCGAGGCGGCGCGGCTCTGCCCGGCTGCCAGCGGAGGTGCTGGAGAAGGGCTCCGGTTTGGGGCTCCGCCGCCCATCTCCAGGTCGCCCCGACTGCTGAACTTCTGGCACAGACACCAAGACTCCCGGCGACGAGCCGAGCATAAGCCGGCTCCCTTCCCAGACCGCTTTGCTCGTGGTTTCCTCATCCAGTAAGTAAACGTGTTGCTTGTGTATGAGATGGCACAATCACTCCGGCTCCCGGCGGACTTCGTCAGGCCCTTACGCGAGCAAAGGGTTGTCAGAGCTCAGGGCAGCCTAGCAGACGCGCGGTCGCTCGGGGCTCTGGCCACACTCTTCTCCGGGCCCGTTACTCTCACTAACCACATTCCCGCACAGCTCACTTCTGGAAACTCCTCATGTTCCTTCAGAGAGCCGTCCAGAGTTGCTGTGTCCTGCACTGCGGTGCCCTGTGGCCCTGGGAAACCATGTATGACTACAATAAACATTTGTGAAAAGATCCAAGTGATTTGTTTTTGGTTCTTCGGAATTAACAACCATTTATGGGAGTTCAGGAGAGAAGCTGTGTGCCGCCTTCATACCCCCAGAGAGCCTTAACGTCTGTGAAGGCAAACAGTAAATTCAGGCGTCCGCTTCTCTTCCCTTGAAAGCAGCAGAAAGTCATGTCAGGAAAGCAGGAAACTCATCCTCAAACACAGCAACAGCACTGCACAACCTCCCCCCATGGTTCTCTAAGTCCTTTCACGTATGTTTTTTTTTTAAGATTTATTTATTGATGCATACAGAACTGGGGTACAGGCAGAGGTGTGCAGAGAAGATTCACCAGAGACAGAGTGGGGAACAGAACCAGCCGACTGATGAGCTGGGGGGAGCAGCAGTCGGGTCAGCAGAGATCTGCTGCGCCCTGTGGGTCACCTCTGGGGTGGGGGTCAAACTCATGCTGAAGCGACTTTAGCTGCAAGTGCTGGGCTTTTAACCCGCCACACCCCCAGGGAGGGCCCTCACGTATGTTTTAACCTCTGTTGTGGTGGTGGAAATTGTCGGGGGGCTCAAACCCAGGGCACGGTTAGTGACTGGTGATGCCCTTCCTCTCCCTGCGGCCCAGGGTCTTCATCGCAAAGCAGGTGCAGCCAGACCTCCCCAGATCGAAGGACCGGCGCCTTGTGGACACGCAACAAAATCTGAGCAATTATAGTAAATAATCCAGCTCCTGACTCTGGTCTCTGAGTTGAGGATACAAAACCACTACACAAAACTATTGGGTTTCTGTCAGCGCCCTGCACCCATCAGCAGCTGCGGAGGTAAAGGGAGGAGCTGCAGGGACACTCTGGCCACCCTCCTGCCCCGTCCTCCCAGCTCAGCCCGGCTTCTTCACCTGCCCACACTCGTCTGGGGCCTATGGCCTTTGTCCCCAGGGTGGCCTAGTCTAAATTCTTGTTTTGCTTTCATAAGTCCCTTGGGAACAGTTTTTAAAGTTCCTCGCTTTTCTGTAAAAAGTGCGTTAAATAGGGAGGCAGCACTTTAAATGCAGCAGTTGACAAGCCAGACGGTCTTTCAGACAGAGAAGCCCTCCTCGGAACGGCAGCCTGCCCTCCCATCGGACAGCTGCCCCTTGGGGTAGGGCAGGCAGGGGCAGGGGCCCTCTCTGCCACGCTCGCCTGCCTGCCTTGCGCCTTGTGGCCCAGGCCACGCGAGGGGCCTCCCCTCGGGGTGTCAGGAGCCAGAGGCTGGTTTTGCTTTATTAGTGATCAAAGACCCATATTTTTACTTAAGATTTACAGAGATGATTCCATTATTAATTAGGGTCTACGAGGCTTTTAATGACCTCTCTTCCGTAGATGGAAGTGGGCTAGTCAAAACCTCCGTGTCCCGTTTCGAACAGCAAGTTGCTTGTCTCGGGGAGCGCTGCTCGGGCCTCAGCCCTGCCCGGTGACCCCCAGCAGAACTCCAAGTCTGTCTGAGAGCAAACTTCATCCTCCCTCAAGTGACGCCGCTCAGAAAATACCCAGCTGCAGGATGAAGCTCCAGCAGCCGTCCTGCTTGGGACCGCCTCAGGGCTGTGTCCCCACCACGGGTCCTGCTGGCCGCTGGCTCCTTTGCAGACATTGCCTCGATGGCCCTGGCCGTTGGTGTGCTCATGTCGCACTCACAGTGCTAGAAAAACGCGTAAACGGAGCCAGAAGTTCTTAGATTTCTCCTGGGAGACTGGGTCTTTGGACCCCCAACTCCCCATGGGGGGCCCTAGCCAGGTGTGTCGGGGGGCAGGGGAGAGGGGCCAATCGGGGCCCTGGGGTCACGTCATGGAAGGAGGGGCGAGGAACAGCACAAGGCAGAGCAGTAAGGGGGAGACGGAGCCAAGATTCTCGGGTGCTTCGACCCGCAGACGGCGTCCTGCTGCCCACACGCGTCTGCTCTGGAATCCGGAAGTTGCTCCGGAGGGTTCGGAGTTGCGGCAGCCCCTCGCCTGGCATTCCACGCGGCTCCGGCTCCTGCCCGATGCAGCTGCCAGGCCCCTCACCTTGCAGCAGAAGCTGCTCAAGTGTCGACTGGGCGGGGAAAGAGAGGCTGGGTGACAGTGCCCGCACCCCTCAAACCAGAAGCTTTTTGAACCCCAGTGGCCTAGCTGCCCTCCTGGCCAGCGGCCCCTCCACCTGCCGTCGGGTTTCCCCAAGAGGAGACGGCGAGAAGGCCTTGACCTGCGTTCTCAGCTCCTGCCAACATCACTTTAAACAGCGAGCGAGGGAGGGAGAAGCCCGGGAGGAAGGGGAGCAGGAGCACTCAGACTTGGGGGGCAGGCGGTTGATGTGTTCGCCTGGTCCTGTTTCTGCATCTTCCCAGTGGAAACAGTACAAGTTCTGTATACAGCACCAGGTCGCACTAAGATTCCGAGAAATGACGTATGGGAGCGCTGTGACAGAGCTCTGCATCTTTGGACTCGCCTGAACTAGCAGAGTCTGAAAATCGTTAAGAGGAAACTTACTGGGTTAGAGAGCCTCGCAGAGCGGAGGGGGGAGAAGACGCCCCCCCCCACCGTGACACCGAGAAAGCCCAGCTCAGCCACTGCTCAAACCCCAGATTTAACCCGCAGTCCAGAGACGCCTCCCGTCCTGGTGTTCACTGAGTGGCCTGGCGAGCAGGTGCCTGGCAGGTTGTTGTTTAATCGTAGCCTAAAGGCAACACTTCTGCTCCCGCGGGACCCAGCAGGTCATCTCACAGGTCGCCCTCACTTTCCTTGCTGATGAGACTTGAGGTTCCTCCCTCACTATCTGGCATGTGGGGTGCGGGGGCAGCAGGGGCTGAGGCCTAAAGAAATGAGTAGCTTGACCAAAGGAGCAGGGTTCTGAAAGCAGAACCAAGCTGGGCCCCCCCACTCCCGCTTCCCGTTAGCTAGTGGGGTGGGGTGGGGTGGGGTGGGGTGGGGTGGGGTGGGGATGAAGCTGCCGCCCCCTGCTCTGCAGGCGCGGGGCGGAGGGGTGAGCGCGGGCGCCCCCGGGGCACCTCCGGGCTGGCCTTCGCGCTCTCAGGGGCTCGGCAGGCTGCTGCGTCCAGGTCGGCGCGGCGGGCACCGGAGGCGGGAAGGTGGAGCCTCACCTGGAGCTGTCTGAAGCGCCCGGGGGGCTGTCCGCGCCCCCGGGCCATCCGTGCGTCCGCGGCCCGCAAGGGGGCCCCTAACGTCCACCTGGCGCTTGGGGCCACTCTCCGAGGCTCACGGAAGGCCGGGGTGCGCGCGGCCTCTCGTCGCCCCCGCGCCCGCTGCCCCCGGGAGCGGAAAACTTTTCCCGGCCTGACCCACCGGCCGCCTCGGCCAGCAGCGGCCCCGCTCCG